ATGTAGCGATCGAAGCTAAGTCCGCCGTGTCTTTAAACGTATTTGAACCAAATTCAGTACAGTTCGGTACAGAATTGCGGATCTGTATGGGGTACATAATATAAACATACTATACAACCTACTTTATATGTAGAACTACTACAAAATCATTCAATTTACTGAGTTATGTCTATATGAGATAAGTTAAAATGCTAGTTAAACGAAAATATTTGAACGGAGTTTTTGGTAGAACAATGAGTATAACAATCATAATTTGCTAAACATTGAGGTTTTTGCTTCTTTCCTTTTTATATCGATTCTCGTTTAATAATGTTGAAATAATTTCTTTAAAAAATACATCATAAATAAGTTTTTAGTAGTAAATTAATTTATATAGTGAAAAATTCTACGTAGTTAGCAGAAAGAGAAAAAAAGTATGGCCAAAACTACGACAATATGGTAAAATTTACCATTTTTCTGGTTCTGTTTGGAACACCAAGAAGTGTGGTAAAATTAACAATAAAATATAGTTTTTACTACCTTGCTGTTTGATAGTAAATGTGGTAAAAGTTAGTAATTTTAACGAATAGTTGGTAATTTTAATAGTACTAGTATAGCTTAAGTTGGCGCAAAAAGGTCCAGTTTGATGACCTTTATAACCTCTATAGTTAGTAAACATTTGTTAATTTTGTTTCTCGTCGGTCAATTGTTTTTTTCCTACTTAAGTTATTAATTGACATCTACTGACATTTAAAATTATAAAAAATGCGCATTTGTAAATGCTGTTGCTGGTTTACATCGCACTACAGTTGCACAATGGGCTATTTGCAATTATCAGGGTAACATTCCTGAGGATGATCCGAAGACATGCCATCACAATTTTGATCCTCGGCAGAGGGGATGACTCCCCCGCGTTGCTAGTGCGACGACTTGTGTGGGAAGTCGAGCACTTCTCTGAAGAACGGTTTAACAAGGACCGATGCCTCACACCCTCTGTCCCTTTGCAGGCAGATCAAAGTGGTCACCCACTTGCACACTGACTGCAGCCAGTGATGCTTGACTTCAGTGTTCTACTGGGAACCACGTCTTAACGGTCAGTTCACTGCGGGAAGCATTTGTAAATGCATAAATAACTGGACAAGGGTAAACAAAATCAGTAGCTCTACTGTTAAGTAGCAGAGCTGTCCTATCATCATAAAATGGAAGCGTAGAGGTTATGGTTTCAAATCAAGCCGTAACCCTGGATGCATCTATATATTTATATTTATTTTACTTATTAATCGTCACGCACAGATATGCAGGCTTCTCTGTTCATTACAAAGCTCTTCTTATATGCTATTGTCAAATCGAAATACAGATAGCTTTAGATAGATAAAGATAGCACAAACGTACATCCTGGGACACGGCGGGATTCAAACCAGCTACCTTCACCTTAAAATAACTGCTTCTTTGTAATGTCCTTCTCTAATTTGAGCAATTTGTTCTTCTATTTGACAGGTCCCTTCTGCAGATGATCAAAATTGTGATGGCATGTCTTCGGATCATCCTCAGGGATGTTTCCCCGACCGTCGCCAATAGCTCATTGTGCAGCTCTAGTGCGACGTAAGTGAACTACAACAACCACAACATCTATTTGACAGGGACTTATAATAAATCGTACTTTGTAATGAGCACACAAGCCTGCATGTGTTTGTGTAGCAATAAATAAATATAATTCTTGGTATATTAATGTTTTTATTTGCAATATTTTTTTACAGCACTTTCGTCCTTCCACCAAATTCAATTTAAAATGGAGGTTGAGTAATCACAGATGTGTGAAAGTAAAGAAATACATTTATTTTAGATACATATACAGGCTCGTTTGCACAAGGCACAAAATGACTTGTCTCTTATCAAATTAAAATCAGGCATAAAAATGAGAAAAACAGCACAGAGGTATTGAACCCACTACTACGCTTCACAACGTCTTACAGAAGGACAATAAATGTGCTAAATGTTACATATATGTGGTTTGAATTCTGTATATTTTGGTTTAATCAGAAAAAAATTGAGGATTCGTTTGCCGGAAATGTCATAACCGTGCAAGTATGATAGTTTTTCCTGAATTTGTTTTGCCGTGTAGTTTCAACACGTGTTACTCCGTATTGTCGCTTAAATTTAATGCAACCTTATTACAAGGCTATGTTGAAGAAGGGCTCGAAAAAACTCAAAAATTTTACCCGTCCCCGAGGACGGCTTGTCCAACAATGTACCCGTACTCCTTTGAAACTCACCCGTCGCTTCTAAATAAATAAAAATATTATTCTTTCTTATTTATTACAAACATTTATATAAATTACACAATGAATTAGTAGCTACTAGGATTACTTTATACAGTAATGAAAGAATGAAAGAAGAAATGAAAGAAGAAAAGAAAGCTACTAATAGTAAAACCAAGTATTTCTTTTATGAAATAATTTAAATGACAAAGGTCAAGTTATCTGGGATGTCAATTTATCCGAGGGTACTGCGTTTTTTAAATGAATCAAATATGACGTTTGCCAGTTCCACAATCAAGCCTATGATTTACAGAGGTTTCTGCACAGAAATCTGAAAGGGGTTTTCCATTTAGGTGGATGTTCATAATTGCGTTTAACGCTTGAGTAATGTGTTTTTTTGTAAGTTCATTGCTGAAAAGTCCCATTCAACTGCTGCAGTACTCCCAGACGGAAAAAACATCAATCCACCATGCGCAGTATGTTGCTGCACGGGATTTCTAGATTAGAGGGTCATTTTAGAAATGAGGAGCTAGACTCTTGTAAGATAACAAAAATTGAAAGTGTATCACGACCATTAACGGGAAAATGGCCGTCCGCGCGAACGTCTGATTCGAGAAATTCGTTGTCCGCGGGGAATTTTTGACCGCCTAGGACTGGCGGACAGGCGGTTTTTCGAACCCTGTGTTGAACCCTATTATCAGGCTAATTAATTCATTTCGAAACTAAATGTAGTTAAAGTTGAACGAAAATAGGGAAAGTTAAATTAATTTAACTCTCTTATTAAGATAACAGCACCTTTGCTCAATATTAAGGTTCAAGGTGCTAATAATTTGGTTGAACAATGAACCGATTTGTTTGAGAGTGCTGTTGATTTTAGTAATTTCAATTGGCTTTGATGATGATGTAATCCAGTAGTTTGAAACATTTTTCGCTATTTAAACACTTTTCGATAGTTAAATTGGATCATGTAATACAACATCAATTATAAATATTTTTTCCTAATGTCCACCTTGGTTGACATTCATCAATTCAGGCGTTTTTAGGGCAGATTTATTGGGCACTCTTTCAGGGGCACCATATTAGGTGGGCCAATGTTGCTGCCACAGTACGGACAGATAGTACAAAGAATGAAAGAACATCCTTGCCTTGTTCGGGAGTCGACCCCAGAACCTTTTTGATGCAAGGTCAGTTCCCTGTCACCTACACAGTCCGGTCTGCTCATTTAAAATATGTATTCTTGATTATATGTAGTCATTAAAAATATGCATTCTTGATGAATTCTTTAAAAAAAAAATAGGTGTGCCAGTAAGGATATTCGTCGCAGGCTGATTAAATAATCCAGATCTTTTTAAACATTCGCCCTTACTTTACAAGTACTTCAGGCAGATTGAAAAAAATTCTTTGAATTTCTAATCAGCCTGACACTTTTAGGTTTTTTCCCCATGAGTCTACGTAGACTAATTCAAAATATATAATTAATTGTTCAATTAGTCAGGTTTATTTAAGAAGCTTTGCAATTCGCTGAAAGAAAAGGATACTCATTGTTAATAACCTTATCGAATGTTCATTGAAATAATTAATAACGTTCATTGAATGAAGCAAAATCTGTAAGATTGAGTCATATTTCTCCAGTATCCTATTAGCTAGGAGGACAAAATGATCGTAATAAGCCTAAAGTTAGCAGTCAGATAAGAAAATATTGGTGACTGTTTCAATCAGCCTAGCACATTGTAGAATGCCTGCGACATTTGCAAAGAGCCGGTGTTTTCCCTTAACCTATAACACATATTACAACAACACAAAAATCAGAGTCGTAATTAAACCTCTCTAGAGGTCTTTCATTTTTTGGTTCTTTTGATAAAAATAAAATAGCCTTCTTTTAGTCTTGTTGAAAAATGTAGTTTTTCAATTATTTACTTTAGTTGTTGTTGTTGTAGTTCATTTACGTTGCACTAGAGTTGCATAATGGACTATTGGCGACGGTCTGGGAAACATCCTTGAGGATCATCCGAAGATATGCCATCACAATTTTGATCCTCTGCAGAGGGGATGGCACCTCCGCTTTGGTAGCCCGACGTCCTGCACGCGAAGTCGAGCACTTTACAGTTGAACAGTTTAATGAGGACCAATACTGCACACCCTCAGTCCCTACGCAGACTAATCCAAGTGGTCACCCACCCTCCCACCGCACTTACTGCAGCCAGTGATGCTTGACTACGGTGATCTGCTGGGAATCGTGTCTTAGCGATCAGTCCACTGCGGGACCAATTATTTATTTTAAATAAACATTGAAACAAATCTAAAAGTTCTCTAGAATATATGCTGAATACTGAATAATCAAACAACAACTTCTATGCATTTCGAAACAAAGCTGGAATGTTTCCAGTGTTTGTGAATGCATTTTACGATTTCGCTATTTTTATTATGTTTACTGTTAATATTTTGATACATCCTAAATAGAAATAAAATAATGCGCTAAGTAAATAAATTTCAATTAGCTGTTGTATAGGTCGTTATCCCCCCCAAAAATATCTTAGTGAGTATTGTAGAAAAATTCTTTTTGAAGGAGTAGACAAAGCGTGACTATTTCGCACGCGCCAGATTACATTGATGTCAGTTTAAAAATTTGGTTGAGCACGTGTTGTTTTATGGCGTTTAAATGGATCCATTTAATTGAAGAGCACTTTTTGACGCACTAAAAATTAATAAAATATCGTAAACTAGATTCGAAGTTGATTGTCAAAGCATTGGAATCGAAAGTATATAAACAATTGACTGATGAAATTTAAGCAACTCTTTTGTATTTGTCTCCAAACTGTTGGTATGTGTGCCCTTAACCTCCTTTTCATTTATAATAATATAAATGATTATGTTTCTATGCTTTGAACAGATTTTTATTATGATTAATATTTTGCGCTTGCTTATAAAATTTCTATGTTTATTTTATAGTGTCAAGAATTTATTATGCTATATAAACATAATCAACTTATGTCGCCACATTTAATGCATAACATTAAATCGAATTCCTGTTTAAAATCTCAAAATTATTATTTAACGTAATAAGCTCCTACAAAACTGTGATGACAATCCCAGAGTTATTGCTCTGTCTTCTAGAGTTATTGCTATATCTGTTTCATAACTTGTAAAGATCAATTTTTTTTCCTACGTTTGGTTAACGAGACGTAAGTAAATTAACTCATTATTTTTTCTTTGATGAATAATCTTATTTTATATTTTAGATTACATTATAATTTTGTATAAAAGGCAGACTCAATTCTGAGTTTAAGGCTACCAATGCTTAACTCCGTGGCCTTGTTATTGACAACTTGACCCAGAAGACAAGGAAGCGCCTGGATCTAGCATTGGGAAAAACTAGCCATCGTGGAGGACGTTTTGATGGAACTAAGCCGCATTTGCTTTTTATGGAAATGGAAACCATGAAAGCCTCCAACGGTTAGCCCGACAGCAAGGGGATTCTAACCCATGACCCGTCTATTGAGGATATTTCATGGTAGCATTGTCGTTGGTGCGAGCCGGAAGTAGAATATGTATGAGCCAATCACCTCTGGGATTCAAACTTGGGTCGTCTCATTGGGAGGCGAAAGCTCTATTCTCTGAGCCTTCTGGTGTAGAAAAATGTAATATTGAAACTATCGATTAAAGCTAACACGTTATTTTTTTAAATTAAAAAAAAAGATGTTTTTTTTATTATTCGCCCTAGTACAATAATTTTTTAAGATCTAGTTTGATTTTATTCGGATTTGAAGTAATTATATTAATATTATATTAATGTTGCTGATACAGTTTTATATAAATATTGTTGATACATTTTTATATTAATATTGCTGATACAGTTTTATATTAATATTGTTGATACCATTTTATATTAATATTGTTGATACAGTTTTATATTAACAATGTTGATGCATTTAAAAAAGAATTATCCTTAAATTTAATATTAAAATCGGGTGGAAATGAAACTACAAGCTCTTGGGCTAACTTTTGTACTTTGTCAATTATTGAATTTAATAAAATTCCAAAATTTAATATATTTTTTAGTTTTTAAAAATATTATCTTTCTCTACCGATTTACGATGATGATTATGTCACATCATTAAAAGATTTGATATGACATGAAATTTGCCGTTGCTTATGAGGTAGCCTTAATTTTCAACTTGTGAAATATATTTATCAATATTACAAAAATTTTGATATGAATATATATTTTTCAAATCAAGAAACATTGTCTGTCTTAAAAGCGAGTTTCTATTTCCTTTGAAAGTAATATACGGAGTACTAAGTGGTCAATTTTTTTATTATTTTATATATTTTGATAAATGGTATATTTAAACTAGTTATATAGAGTATTAGAGTATAAAGAGTAAACTAGAGTATATAGAGTATTCCACTTAGATACTTTTAGGACACTTGCAAAAAAATAAATACAAAAAGTATATGCAATAGGGTTCTTAAAGTAATATTTATGTGAGAAAGAAACAAAATTTTATCAAAATCTCTAAACCTGTTTGATTGCCTGATGAAACTTCAATGAAAACAAAGTACAGTAACTACTACTAGAATAGGGTAAAACTTACCATGTTTCTAGCTCAATGGGAACACCAAAGAGCTCTGTAAATTTCACCAAAGTGCTTCAAATGTTTTTGTAAACTTAGCAATAAAATGTTGTTTTGTAATACATGATAAAGTTTGGTAAACTTGGTAATTTTATCATGATATATTTGGTTAAATTTACTTTTGAATTTTATATTTTTTCCTTCACGCGTGGTTATAAAAATTAATTCGGAAACTAAATTTCAGGTAAACCGTTACATAAAGTGGACAATTTACCTAATCACTAGTAGTGAAGGTGAGATGAAAAACGTTACCGAATAGAATTCGGAGGTGTTCCTAGCAATCACTTTTCAACTCCTCTTGCTTCTCTCTGAAAACAGTAGAAATTTTGATATTTTTAATCCCATCCCTATTGACTTGTCAGACTTCAACATTTGTTTTGTTTTTCCTAGCTTTATTAAATAGTAACCTTAAATGTGCATAGGTTTTGATTTGATTTTGGTAAAAAAAAAATATAATAGCCTATATTAGGGAGGTATATATTTCGTTTTCGTTGATTCTTTTTTCCTAACTAAAAATTTCTTCTCGTAAATACCAAATATCATCTAAGGGGAGAAAGATAATTAAAATAAACAAATGTTTAAAAATATTTGAGTTCATTTACATTTTTAAGGTAAAGAAGAGTAACCGCAAATTAATAAATTAATTAAATGATATCATTTCAAATTATTTTTTCTCGATAAATTACATTATACTCGGTAAATTTTTTTCTATCGATTTTGTAGCACCAAATCATATTAAGTTATAAGAAAACGGCAATTAACAAAAATAATAATGTTTGAAACTTATTAAAAAGATCAAATTTTTTTAAAGCAAGGACAGATAAAAGTCATTATTTTTATGAATGGATTGTGACAAATATCTTGACTTAAAAGGTGCACGTCATTGTAGTTAATAATGCGCATGTACAGAATGACGTAAGTTCCCCCCTTTTTAAAATTAAGCTGCATTTTATAAAAGAGCGCGCATTTTCCCTACAGATCCTACTTGACAAAAATGATTGCTACAAGTGCCAGCTTTCAGGAGAGAATCTCCATCAATGAGGTAAGTAAATTCACAATTATTCTTTTGTTCGATTACGAGTAAAAAAAAACTATTTTTTTTCCTAAAATGCTTTTTTTTGTAACTGGGTTGTAAAAAAAAATAATTCGATTTGAATTACATTTGAAACTTTTGAATTTTACTTTTAAAACAGGGTGTATAGTGCTTTTAAAAAGTGACTAAAGGTGCTTATTTTCTATGTTCGTTTTTTAAAGGACCTTAGAGGTGCTTCTTTTATTGGGTGTTTTTAAAAAGTGCTTAATTTTCCCTTGTCCAAATTGAGGTTTTTCCTTTTCCATGTTGATTTTCGCTACGAATTATGTTCACATTGTTCTTTTCAACGTTTTCATAATTAATTCAACCCCAATCTATTTCGGAATCGTCAGTTCGTGGCATATGAAAACGCCATTCAATTTACATGATTCAGAAATTTTGACAATTGTCAAAAACAATGCCAAATATTTTCTTTGACATGACGGTTAAAACCAGATAAAACCGTCAATTGTCAAAAACTTTCTAAACCTGCTTAATTATGATATTTTTTAAGTGCTTGAAAATATTATTTGAGTGCTTGAAAAGTGCTTAAAAGGTGCTTATTTTCTGTTGAATAGTTTGGCTACGCACCCTGTAAAGAAAGGAATTTTGACGTTATCTTAGGATTTTTATGTATTGACAAATGCAAACTTATTGATTCGAAGAGTAACATTAAATATGTTATGGCGATATTTAAACATCCCCTTTTTTCTACGGATTCCAAATTCTAGCAATTTGGAGAATATGGTCTCAATAGTTAACGCAGGAGAGCTAATGAAAGTTTGCACCCCTTAGTTTTCAATAGTATTTCACCATATTTCTGGAACTATTTTAGATAATTAAATAATTTTTTTCATGCGATTATAAAACTTGTTTATCAAAATATAATTTTCGAGAAAAAAATTAATTTTTTACCGTTTTCTGTTACATATATCTCTGCAGCTACTAAAAGTGTTTGAATTAAGAGTTATAAAAATATTCACAACATTTTTATTTACATAATTTTAAATGAAAAAATCAATAAGAAATTAATATTTTGAAAATATTACTTTAATTTTTTTTCCAGCATAAAAAGATTGGTGTTAGCATTACAGGGCAAAATATCGACTGCTCTTTTGTTTTATCTCTATTTTATCTCTACATCTTTGTAAAATATTAAGTTCTTAGCCGTATATCAAGCTGCATGGTAATCACGTCATTATCACCTCAACCCAACTTATTTTATTTTAGCAGCTAATCCATGTATGACTTTGTCGTTTTGAACTCAACTTAAAACATAAGATATCCTCTGGATCAAGCATTGATCGATAACAGCAAGCACCGTCACCCACGTTTGGTATTACGGTATGCAATACTTCGTAAACTTGTCTTCATGGAGCATTTTTTATTAAAATTAACCTGCTTTTACGTTACTTAGACAAGAAAACCATGAAAATCTCTTACGGATAGTAAGTTAGGAAAGGAATTTTAACCCTATATGTTATTTTATTGATGTTATTTTATGTCATAGCTGTGTCGCTACGATTCGGAAGCATAATTCGTTTCCACCAGCCATCGCTGGGATTCGAATTTGGGTTACAACATTGCCAGGCGAATGGTCTATTCCCTGCTGTGATGAACTATTCAGCTGTTATGGCTTACATCACATCTGAACATCTATTCAGTTGTGATGTCTTACATCACATCGGAACATCTATTCAGCTGTGATGGCTTACATCACATCTGAACATCTATTCAGCTGTGATGGCTTACATCACATCTGAACATGTATCCAACTGTGAGGGATTACATCACATCTGAACATGTATTCAGCTGTGAGGGCTTACATCGCATCTGAACATGTATTCAGCTGTGAGAGCTTACATCACATCTGAACATCTATTCAGCTGTGATGGCTTACATCACATCTGAAGATGTAGTCAACTGTGAGGGCTTACATCACATCTGAACATGTATTCAGCTGTGGGGGCTTACATCACATCTGAAAATGTATTCAGCTGTGAGGGCTTACATCACATCTCAACATGTATTCAGCTGTGGTGGCTTACATCACATCTGAACATGTATTCAGCTGTGAGAGCTTACATCACATCTCAACATGTATTCAGCTGTGAAGGCTTACATCACAGCTGAATCTAACTAATACCAAAAGCTTTGCATACCTTTGATATGTGAATTTTAATTTATAAAAAAGTAAAGCATTTCCACAATAGACCGTTGAGGTCCAGGAAAATCATGGAATTAAGGATCTATAATTTTGTGACCAATGGTCCAGTGTGCTTGGCATTGCCCAAAATGTTCCTTTAATTCCCGGACAAGTAGATACCCGTTGATTTGAAGCAGGTTGGGCTTCAAACTGCCACAGCCGAGCCACTGTCTTTTACATTGACAATTCAGGACTTTAACGGCTGAATCATTGAGGTCGGGAAAAAATCATAATTTTCAGCTCTATAGTTTTAACATTCGCTTTTAGAAAAATTCTCACATGTTAAATTATCTCTCCATTTAATACAAAAAAATTACTGTCGTCTTATCTTTTTTGAATTCTCATTAAAAAAATTACGGGATGAGATCGTTAGTAAACAAAATGATCCACATGTCTTTGACATCCATCAGCGTGGCATTAATAAAAGTTGTTATCGTATTTACCTATATTTTATTTAATAATTCTTTACTCTATGGAATATGACTTGTTTATTCATAATCTAATTCTTAATATACTTTTCTGTGCGATAACAGAATTTAAAGAACTCTTTCTAAATTAGTCTTCGATCAAAAGATTATTGTTGTGCAAATTCTGCTTAATCATAAATGTAGCAAAACATGAGAATACATGTAGCAAATATTGCAAATATAAAATCCTTAAAAATTATACATAAAAACTTTATGTCGTTCGCGTTTAAATTGTATTTTTTACAATGGCTCTTAAGAAGGATTGAATATATTCTTATACAATTTAAAAATCAAGAAACAGTGGAAAAAAAGTCTTTACTTTCTGTTTTTTGCGGTGTTCTCTCAATTCAGTTTTTTTAAAATTTTTATTAAAAACAAGTTTAGAGAAGATGCTTTTAAAAGGAGTCTCATTAATTTCCCTTACCTCCCTAACTTAGCTTTTGAAAAATAAAAATAATTAAACTTTAATAAAATATAATCTGCAAATGATGTAATCATCTGCCGTGTCCGCTACCATGCTGCAGAATTTCTGGTTTAGGGTGTCTCTTATTATTACGTTTCTGATTTTATGCATTATTTAATATTAAAGACTTAAAATTAAGTTTTCTTTTATTGTATTGTAAAGTAATGGTATGTTATTAACCTATTATGCAACCTTTTATATTGAAAATGTATAATTTCACAGTTGCTAAATACTGAAGAAAATAGTTTAAATTTTTGATAAGGTAAAATTAACAATGAAATTTGATTTTATAAAATTTGGTAAGTGTGGCGAAAGTTTATAATTTTATAAAGATATCTTAGAGCATGGCATAAAAACCAAGCATTCAATTATATTTTCTTTTCAGTTTTACATTCTCCACGGTATGTGAGGTAGTTTGAACTATAATTTTGAAAAACAGAATTTTCGGTAAACCGTTACCATATGAATGTGAAATGAAAAATTCACAAATAAATGGTTTACAACACGTATATTTTAAATTTTATTACCGAAATTATGGTTCTTTTTTTTTTTTTAACCAAAAATATTGTTACAATACAGTATCGTAATTTTAACACAACTTTTTCTTCCCGTAAAAAATCGTAGATGTACTAATTTTTTTAATAAATGTTTTTTTTCTCTAAAAAACGGCGAAATAACAAGGCCTTTCCCCCTCTAATGGAAAGAAACCGGGTGCATATGTTAACTATTGGAAATTTAGAAATAGATTTTCAGTGAAAAAGTAGTAGACTTTAGTTATAGTTTTTTTGTTAAGTAGTAGATTATAATTTATTGTTTATTATACTTAAAACTTCTTATTTATACTTACAATAGTTCTGTAAAGTGTTTTTTTTTTTTAAATTGGCGGGCACTTGGGGATTGTCCCATTGGCCACAGGAATGCCAGAACTGCTACTCTCTTCTCGTTTCCCAGTGGGGACTTGTGGCGAAGCCACTGCGGTGGAGCCCGCGTGGCTTTGCCACAGGTGTCCACTCGCCATTCGAACACGCGACCATCGGCTTCGCAGTCAGACACGCTAACCACTCGGTCACCTGGCCGGCTGTGTGAAGTGTAAATATAGATATTTTGTTATTAACTTCATCTTTTGACTGACGAAATAATAATACGACCCGTAAAAAAAAAAATTCGCATTTATATTTTCTTATTTTTTTTAATATGCAATCGAAAAAGGTGTTAGAGCATTTAAAAGTTTCATTCAGGCATGCATATTTTTCTTACTAAAGTGCACAACAGAGCACGTAAAATTTTGAGATTTATTTTTTGAGTCCTGCTACCATGCATACCTATAAGAGCACATCATATAATGAGGAAAACTACTAATGTGTACACAGAAAAAAATCCGTCGTTTTTTGGAATTTCTCTGTATATTTAACGGTTTAAAACTATTTTGTTGACAAAACGGTTTTTCTTTGCTTTCCACCCTAATCACAAACTGATTAAATTCGTAAGTTTAGATTCTAGTTTTTGTCATGCAATTTTGCTTTTTGTAATATAACTATATTTTCTCCAATCATTTAACGATTACTTCTAGATTTGCTTTTACTTTTTAGCAATTACCTCATAACTTTGAATGTAAGGTCAAGGTTGTATCAAGGCAATATCTAGGTCGTATTAATAAAACTACGAAAAATTTTATTGGGAAACTGATACAATATTGAAGCAAAATTCTCATCATTTCGCCTCTGTTCCTTGAGCCACATTGGCTCAAGGGACAGAGGTTCGGAAAGACCCAGATTCGGAAAGACCCAGACATTAAAGAGACCCAGATTCGAATCCCAACGATGACTGGTCGATACTAATTCTGCCGACGCGAAATATTTACATCTGATGGGAAGGTGGGAATACAGATTTACTTAGTAATTTTCACTGAGAAAGAATGTTCCAATCCAGTAAAAATCTATTGAGACAGCAGATTTATTTATTTATTTATTTTTTTGTGTAGAAACTTGTTTTGCTAGGGTTAAAAACCAGTTCCATAACGAATTCTTTTCGTAATTTTTATGGAAAACGTTTTCCTTTATGGTAAAAACGAAAATTTAGTTCGCAAATTTTACGGAAAACTTGTTCTTGTATGGTAAAAAACAGCTGAACCTAAGGATTTACTTCGTAAATTAAATGGTATCGCACAAGCAACTCAACTGCCATTTTAAAACCGTAAATATTACCGGATTTTTTTACACTAATTACCGTAACTTCATTTTTCGTTTAATTTCTTTTCACACGTTTGAGTATTTTAAGGCCTGTTTAGATAAAGTTAATTAAATAAGTCAGAAAATTTTTAAAATAAAACTTAATGAAAATTGAAACATTTCGATTGAATTTTTTTTTCTTCAAAAAATAAATAAATCATAATTTAAAATTAGGAAAATAATAGTTTCAAGTTCAAAAGAGAAAAAAAAAATGATTTGAGAAGATAAAATCATTATTTGACCTTTAAATAGTTAATCTTTTCTTTCCATGCCTTTTATATCTGATCGTTCCGAAAACAGGAAAAAAAAGAAAGAGGTGATCCCCAATCTCATTATTTCCCTTGAATGGTACAATAACGATAATGACTAGTCGTTATTCAAATCATTCATCGTTATCAGCCTTCTTTTCTCTTTTGTTTTGCTACTTAAATACACTTTATGAATATCTTTTTTAGCACAAGACAGGAAGCATTTTTATTGGGGGTTTTTTTTATTTGCAAATCTTTAGCATGAAGCATCATGATAGTTGTGTTTATCAAATGCATTTGCATAAAATACCAATCAAATCAACAAAAATAAACAAAGACACTGTTAACTTGCTTAAAGGAACATGTAAGCTAATGTCTGTAGTTTATATGTTTAGATCTATTTTAAGGATTTGCAGGAATTTCTTTTCTTTTTTTTTTGTTATTAATATTCATGTGATAAATAATTTTTCTTAACTATTAATTTCCAATCTCTGATAACTCATAATCTTGAACTAATTTTAACTTTTGTTCACATGCAGAAAGTAATTATTTAAGAAACTTAGAAATTTTGTGGTATATGCCTAACACGTTTGCCCATTTAATCAATTTTTTGTGAATGTTGTCATGTACTTCAGAAAAAATATCAAGTTAGGAAATTATCCAAGGTAGAGTGTTATGAGGTGTCCAAGGTACTACATGGTGTTGTTTCTTTGACCTCCAATTGTTGTACTATAGGCCGTTGGATGTTATTCACTGAGTAGTATTCAGTTGGAATTATTTCCTTCTAAACTTGTTACTTAATTGAAATTGTTTATTCATGCAATAAAAAGTAACTTTTGTTAGGTACATAAGCTAAAATAAATCAAATTAGTGCTAAATAATACTTTAATGAAATTTCTCAGAAATTTATGCCGTATTATGATCATGAGTGATTTTACATGTTGTGAGTGATCAAGTCCACGGGGAAATATATTTATGCTAATTGAACCGGTTAGATAAATATTTGACCAGTTTAAGGTACAATACTTAGACTGATACAACAAGCTTATAATTATTCATATGTTTTGTGTACTCGTTTTAGGTTAAAAAATAATATAATTACCTTAAGCAATTATATCGTGCCTCTTTGCCTAAAAAGGGTTTAAAATCAATCAAATTCAAGATGAATCATAATTGGTTGCTTAAGCTGTAATATCGTGCCCCTTTTAATTATGAAGTGTAAAGGTGAATCCAATACAAGCTGAAGCATGTTATCAAGAAATTTTATTTTATTTTATTTTATTTTATTTTATTTTATTTTATTTTATTTTATTTTATTTTATTTTANTCTGCTTTCAACATTTTACCAATTGAAGCTGTCTGAGCTAACTATTTCCATCAATTTATGTTTTGTAGAACAAAAATAGAGAAAGCAAAAACTTCATCAGTACTTTGTTGAAAAAGGAAAAACAGAAATAATTTTAAACATAGTCGACAAGAAAATGGATGTATATTTTTTATATTTGCCACTGATCGGCAAATAAAAATTCAATCCGCGGGCCGGATAAAATCTTCCGGCGGGCCACAATTGGCCCGCGGGCCGTAGTTTGCCCATCCCTGGTCTAACCCATGATTCGTCTATCACTTTGGATCTATATATTACGTCAGCACATTGGTGAAGGCATGACCGGTGCAGAATTCACAGATGCCGTTACCTCTGGGATTTGAACCTAGGGCATTTCATTGGGAGGTAAGCTCTCTATCCCCCGAGCTGCCTCGGCTCTTTATCAAAAAGGATTAACCCACTGAAGGCTTTCCACGTAAAAGGTCGTAATTTAACATGCAGTCTTTTTTGCATAATAAAATCGCGTTTTTCATGTTATTGGATAGAGAAAGAGGGTATTGAGGGGAAATAGTCTCCCAATTTTAACAATTTTCTAAGCCGCCAGTGGGTTAAAGTTCATAAAGGATTAACTTAGACGACTAAATCATTCAATTTAGCACCGTTGGAAGCAAATTAGCATGTTAAATATTTATAACAGCGTTTATTTAAAAATAATTATATTCAAAATAAATGTATTCATTGGAATATTATCACACAAAATGCTTGCAATAAAAATTTGATGCGTGCATATATAGCATTTTATGTTTATTCCAGCAAATACCAGTATCAAATAGACCCAGACGAAACTCCCTCGTGATTGATGCGAAATTAGAAACGGTTAAAAACAAGCTTGCACAGGAACAATGGATAAAAGAACTGAAGAAAGATGAAATACAGTTTCAAGATTTAACTGAAGAAGAGGTAAGCTGTATGTTTATTTTCCATAGAGTATCGATGAAAGTTACGATTTGTTGTAGTTGGTGTAGTTTATTTACGTCGCACTAGAGCTGCACAATGGGCTGTTGGCGACGGTCTGGGAAACATCCCCAAAAATGATCCGAAGTCGTGCCATCACAATTTTGATCCTCTGCAGAGGGCGGCTGGCACCACTGCTTCGGTAGTCCGACGACCTGCTCTCGCAATCGAGCTCTTTACGGTTGAACAGTTTTACGAGGACCAATACCACGGACCCTCGGTCCCTTGGTTGACTGGTCCAAGTGGTCACCCACCCTCGCACTGATCTCAGCCAGTGATGCTTGACTACAATGATCAACTGGTAACCGTGTCTTAACGAAACTTCGGAGCGAAAAATTACGATAAATGATGATGCTTGTTCAAAACTTTGCAAACGGAAATCGGAAGTAAGAGAATAAAAATCTTTTAAGATTACCATGAAAAAAACCGGAATATTTTAAGTTTAAAATATTGAAAGTTTGATCTATGTGTTTATAATAAATGGAAATTTCCAGCAGGTTTTTTTATGAATTAAAGATTTTTTCAGAAACATGTCTCATTTATGCATCCCAGATGGCAGTGCAATGTTGACTTTAATGTTAGCTGCAACCATCATCACAAAGTCAAACAAGGTTCATAAATGCTCAATAAATAAACAATGAAAGCTTGAAATAATGTTATGTTCACGCATTATGAAGTTTGCTTTAACAAGGTTAAATAAGCTTGCTAAACAACCCTTTCATATCGAGATTTTTTCTTCCTTTACAAAACAGGGCTAGAATAACCTTCTGAACTCGTGGATGAATTATCACTTGCTAATCAAGAGTAAAAAGAGAGCTCAAACCTAGGATAATTTCACCTTCTCAAGGTTTATTTTAGATTCTAACAAGGTTTATTTACACTGGCTTGTATACTTTCCTGAACAATTTAAAAGTGAAAGGTCGCCTTGTCAATACGTTTTCAACACAAACAAAATGTTACAGTTGAGATCCTGGACAAACCTAGAATGAAAAAATTGCAATAACAAAGTTTACAGTAAAAGCTAAAAAATTACTTTTTTTGTAAAGATTTTTGCATGCCTTTATTCAATCTTTAATGTAACTAGCTTGGCATACTCGTACTAATATTTTTACTAAGTTTAAAAAAGGATTAATAAGTCAACCTTTCTTTGAAAACCAAATGAAAATAAAATTACAACGTTTGCCGAAAGATTATCTGCTATCTAGGATATATTTATGATATGTATTTGAATTTCCTAAATTTTATGCTACATTTTTTTCTTGTAATTTATGGATACCGAGGTAGTTTTGTTTGCAAATTGTTTTTTATTTTTATTTTAATTCTGTGATGAAGCCTTATAAATCCGCTTAGCTCATTGAATTCTCGCATTACTGTTTTTTAATTATTCATATACCGGAGGATTTCTTCGTTGATACACACCTCAATTGGTGAACCTGGACTACAAGAACAAGTAATTTTTCAGGTAGACTTAGATGCCAGGATAACAGGACTTCTCATTACTATCTGGCTCACTTCATCATGAACTCTGGTACTATCCATCTCTCCCGATAGATGATAGCATCATAGATCAGCAACATTCTAACTAAGTCACTTTCAACAGTTAGATATGACTGATTTATTTCAGAAACGTTACTGGCTTTTGACGAAGGGGTTTCTCAATTCTTTAGAAAGATTCTAAGTTAATTCTAAAAAGTTACTGGTTATACAAGAGAACCTTTTTTTTCTTCTGTTGCATGAAATAGTTTCTAAAAATAAATATTAGATACATTAGTTTTGTTAATTTCAAATCTACAATCGGTTTCTCTCTCCAAGCTGCAGATTTTTTTTTAAATGACGAATTTAGTCAATTTTTCTGAAAATATACATGCTTGAAAACGTTATATATATAACAGAATGCGCGTAATTGTTGTGACAAACTTCTATTTGGAGTTAGGTTACACCATTAGAAGAAAAATTGCATAGGAAATCATGGCCGAAAATGTTATGATACGCCGCTAGGAGCGCTTTCATATTATGAACTGTTTCTTCATGTGCTTCTGAACAATTCATAATAAGGAAGAGTCCCTAGCTGTGCACAACGATATTTCCAAGCATGGGTTCTTATGCAATTTCAATCCTGATGATGTGCCCTATTTCCACTAGAAGTTTGTTGCAACGCATGACGTACTACGTGACCCTCTGTTACATATAACGATTTTAAACTTATACATTTCGACAAAAAGATAGATTAAAATTGTCATTTAAAAGAAATCTGCAGCTTTAGGAGCAAAACTAATTTAAAATTTAAAATCCTCACACACTAATTGGACAAGATCAAATATTTGTACAAATGCAACAAAAAATTTGTTCCCCAGTGCTAGAAAATATCTAAATTCTTAACGATAATTTCGTTTTTTTTTGCCCAAAATGATGTTACTAATATGTATAAGACCGATTTTATGTCGAGCATTTTCCAATATCATTACTAAATTCTTTTCACAAATTAACAATGAATGAAAAATAAAAACTAATTCGAATTAAAATACTTTTTTTAAAAAAAATACACATATAATGCTAAACTGGTTTTGACATTGATTACTATTTTTGAATAATCATTGACTTAAGTTCTTTACAAAATAACAATAATAAATAAATAAATAATAATACAATCGGAAACGGAGATATTTCTTGTCTCTTATACAAAATTTATGAAAATGAATCGAACTTATTTACAAACAAAGCGATCACAAATGAAGTATTATTTTTTTATCTACAGATAGTGCTGCTGAGCCACATTGCTGATGATAATGGTTCCAACAAAATAATTACCAATGTTGTGTTTACCATAGAGGATGACTATTCGTTATTACCATACATACTTAAGTGTATTGATGTAAGTATATGATATATTTATTTGCTACGAAGTTAACTTCTTTTTAAATGATAAAACTGTATTAATGATATCAAAATGACAGTTGAAATCTGTCAAGAAAGTATTTATCATTCAGAGTACAATTTTAATTTATATCTGTCATGTAAAACAACAATCACTAACATTAATGTTTATCATTATTAGATTACATTAACGATGAGTTCAGTGACTTCTCGTTTCAGTCAATAAAAAATAATTTGCTCTACTTTTAGATAACGTCTAAAGTTTTAAGTATTGTTGAGGAAGAACAGATTTCAAGGGCATTTTTAATAAGTTAGATAGTTATTTGTTTGAAAACTAATTTCAGTTCATAAATATACGGATTGGATATAATAATCGACATGTTTGAAGTGCTCAAAAACAGGTGCCCGTTTTTAAGACTTGCCAGGCGTAAGAATGAGAAGATATAAAAGTGATTTAAAATATAAAGAGCAAAGTTTTCCATGAAAAAGGAAAAAATAAGGGTAAGAAACAAAACTAGAAAAACACAAAAGCTGAGAGAGGAAAAGATGAAAAACAAAGTGGGAAAAATCACAGTGGTCGAGAGGGGCAAATAAGTGTAAAATACATTTCTACGCGCAATGGAGAGCTGATGAGAAATTATTATAGTTCAAGAATTAACTGTCATTGAGGAACTTATGTTGTAACTTGGGAAGCAGCATTCATGTGAATAAAACGAGTTTCCAGGCCATCAAGATGAGCTTATGTGACTGGGGTAAGAAGAGTTTTGCAATTGTGGAAATTGCATTTATGACCAAGATTCCAACAATGTGCAGCAACTGATGATTTATCGTATATTTGATAGTTTGATAATCAAACCTATTTCTCTTTTTACCACACATTTAGTAAAAAAATACAAAACGGAAAATTAAATTTAATCAAATAAATGATTTTTATACTATGCCCTTAGGTATTCCGATAAAATTACCAACTTTTGCCTTGATTTACCAAAATTTATCGCATATTATAAAACCATATCTTTTTGTTAACTTTACCAAAGTTATTATAAAGCGTTTCTGTCAAAACTATCGAGCTTTTTAGTGTTTCCAAGGAGCCAGAGACACAGTAAATGTTATCATATTCTATTGAAGTAAAAAATATTTATTGCAAGTAAAAAAGGAAAAAGACCAAATTTTTTATCATTAATTATTAAAATGAATTCCTGCATTCGTTGTTTAAATTCATTACAAGATATACGTGTTAGAAATGTTCAAAATTATATGAAAATGAACAAGCTATGCAGTATTTAATGGAATATAGTTACCAGCTCTTATAACATACTTTAAGACTTTTCAGAAAAAGGCATATATTTATGATTCTAAACTGATGTTAAAATACACGTTTCAAATTTATCATTTATCCTTTATCATTTAAAATTATCACTTCAAATCAATCATTTATAAATAAATATATTAATTTCAAAACTGCTCTTACAAAAATTATCCTTTTTATTATCATTTTTAGGCTTCCAGTGCTTATATTCAACATTTAGAAACAAGAGTCTCAAAGAAGGAGCATGCATCCGTAGATGTTTTGGTTAAAATGGCAGTGCGCAAAAATGAACTAATGAAACTAATCAAGACAGTTAGACGAAATGAAGAAATAACTATAACTGTCATTTCGAACGAGAAAGTTTATTTCCTCGGTAAAGTATTTATTTACGTTTGTAATTCAAATATTTTTTAGGTATTACGAGTTTTAATAAAAAAAATTTCCCTGGTGATATTCCACAATTTACTGGAATAAGAATTTTTATACCTAAGAGAACAGTAAAATGTTTGGTGCAAGGAAACAATAAACGTACTGATTTTTTTTTGCATAACTTTAGCTGATTATGTACTCCAAAATATAATTTTTTAAAGTAATTTAACTAATAACGCTAATAAAGTAACTAATAAAAGGAAAATAATTTGAAATTATTCTAATTTTATTAACATAAACAGAAAAGTATTCTCAATGCAGGTTCAAAAGATAGTGCAGAGCTACTAGTAGGTAGACAAACATTTTGACAGGTAGATCAGATAGATTTTAGAGATTAGATCAGATAGATAACCGTTACATTTTATTAATATGAGCAGAAAAATATTCTCAATATATGTTAAAAAGATAGCGCAAAGCTGCTAGCTTCAACTTTTATCTTTTACAGATAGATAGTTGATGCTATCTGATAGGTAATGCAATATAATTGAAATTTTTTATAACATTGCACGAAACTATTTTAAGCAAATTGAAGAAAAATCCAATTTCTTATATTAATGCTGTCTTATAAACCAATGGAATTTAGTTTATCGNATATTTTTTCATAACTTTAAATAGTTGAGTTGATTATGTTCTCCAAAATATAATTTTTTAATGTAATTTAACGCTAATAAAATACCTAATAAAAAGGAAAATAATTTGAAATTATTCTAATTTTATTAACATTAACATAAAAGTATTCTCAATGCAGGTTCAAAAGATAGTGCAGAGCTGCTTTCTTCAACTTCTTTCTTTTACAGAAATGTAGACAAACATTTTGACAGGTAGATCAGATAGATTATAGAGATTAGATCAGATAGATAACCGTTACATTTTATTAATATGAGCAGAAAAATATTCTCAATTCAGGTTAAAAAGATAGTGCAAAGCTGCTAGCTTCAACTTTTATCTTTTACAGATAGATAGCTGATGCTATCTGATAGGTAATGCAATATAATTGAAATTTTTTATAACATTGCACAAAACTATTTTAAGCAGATTGAAAAAAAAATCCAATTTTTTATATTAATGCAGTTTTATAACCAATAGAACTTAGTTTATGGAATGTTTTTGATGTAGTCAGTTTATACTACAAGTTTTTTTTTAATGTAATATCAACCATATGCATCAGAATATTAAAACGATGCTTACTTTTTAATTTTTTTTCAACGTAAGACAAATAAAATCTGTTAGACAAACATCTTTTTATAATGTATTCCTTCATCAGTTGTTTATTATCAAAGCCGATCAAAATTAGCATTTATTATAAAAACTGAATTCCCTAAGCACTTACCTTATTCATGTTACTGTGAATGACAGATATTGGATCGGTGAATGTTGACAATCACCACATAGTCGCTGGTAAATGTCCGAAATATATACTATGTATAGTTAAATGCCACTGCTCGGTATACATTTGCCCGGTATGCCCTACATCTATTTTTTTTAAGGTTCGGTGCCATTGCCTGGTATACATTTAACCGGTACTCCGGACACTGATGTTTCTCCTAATATATCCTCAGCAGATATTAAAATATCGAATAAATACAATGATATTAACAAAAAATTAATGTCACATCGGATATAACAAATATTTCGGACATTCACCAAAGCGACTATGTGATTATTGACATTAACCGCTGAAAGTTAACATTCTCTTGATTTCGGACATTCACAATAACATTAATATTTAAACACTAATTTTTTTTATCCACTTCCCTTTTAAATATTTTAAATTCTGCTTCTCAACTACTTTAGACATTGCAAACTTTTTTCAAATTATCATAATTCCTAACCAATGACATTATAATGAAACAAAATTATTTTTATTTATTTCAGATAAATGGTTTCCTAAACATATAAGCGATTTAGACAAATGCGCTCATATTCTGTCGAAGTTTGAACCAAATCTGGACAGCAGTCATCCGGTAAGCTATGCATGTACATTATAGCTCATAATACAAGGATAACTAATAGCAAAATTTTAAGATTTTTCGATAAAGTTTTTACAATTTGATAAGAGAACTGAACTTTAAGGGTGTTTAGGAAAAAGAATCCAGCTGTTAAAGAATGCATTAAATTTATGAATTAAAAAAAGTAATTTCAAAAAAATTAAAAAAAAAAAAACATTTTTTTTGAGAAAATTTTATTAATTTTTTTAAAATTAAGTAACAATTTTTTCACCATTTTCTTTACAAATACTTATATCTTTTCCTAAAAAAGTAACGAAGTGAAAGTACTAAATTTAAAAAGTAGCGAAGTACAAGTAAGGATACTTACTTTTAAAGGTTTTTTCGTAGCAAGTAGCGAAAGTAAAGGTCTTACCATGCATGTTCTCGTGTTTATCTGATTTTGTCGTCAACTTACTGTTTTTTGCGACACGTTCTTCATTTTATGCTCAATGTGCTGTTCTGGAAAGCAAAATTAAGAATTTTTTGTCATAACTTAGATTTATATTTTAATCTTGGAGTCAAGTCTCTTTAAACAATAACAAGCAGCTTTAAATTCTAATGAGACTTTTACTTTCCACAACTAATCAAATAACTTTCACATCTCTCTCAAATGTGGATGACTTTCACGATGTTTCATGTTTTTGCCTATCCCATTAAATTATGATATTTATGTCTATCATGTTTGATTACGTTTAGAATAAATTTCTTGCGTTAAAATGAATGTTCTTTTCACCTATTTTCTCACATTTTTCTCAAATTTCAATTTAAAAAAAAATCTAAATTGAATATTCTGTAACTTACAGGGATATACTGACATTGCCTACAGAACTCGAAGGAAGGATATAGCATTGAAAGCTTTTAGTTACCAACAGTGAGTTTCATTATTGTTATTTATTATTTTTTTAAAGGACAGCACTCATAAAAAATGAATTTNTATAATGCATGGCAACTGTTGGTACTTTTGAAATTTATATATTTTCTTGGCAAACTTCAGTTTTTGACATTTTTGACGGGTTAAACCAGTATTATACCCTTGTCATGTCAAAAACCACTTTTTGACGTCAAAAACCCAACCCTGCATAAAATATACCTGATCGATCCTCAATCGGATTCTAATGCTATATTAGTTTAAAATTTATGAAAGTGCTCTTTTTCTTAAAGTACAATACACAACATTAAATACAAGATCTATAAACCAACAAAGTGTGGAATCTAGTTTTAACGAATAGCTAACCAAATATCTGACAACCTCGCAGCAAATGTTGCATTTTTATTTTATTTTCATTTAGTTGGTATTGAACGAATGACTAATCAATCCTTTTTCAAACTTAGTAGAAATATTAATATGCTACACTTGTTTCCTTTAAAATTGAATGAAACTGCAAAAAACTTCATTTCATTCTTTATTTTTCCTTATAAAATTTCATTCTTCATCTTTTACAATAAGCCTCGTTTTTGAATTTTTTTTCCAATTCTAGCTTTGTCCAAGTTCTCAAATGCAACATTTTGTTTGTGTTGAAAACTTAATAATAAGACCAACCTTCACTTTAAAAGTGTTAAACAAAGTATATATATGCCTGCGTGAATACATAGTTTCAGTGATGGTCATTAAATCTAAAATAAACCTTGAGAAAGTGAATTTATCTTCGGTTTGAAAACTTTTTCTATTCTTGATTTGCAAATGACCCTTCTCATTTTTAGAAGGTTTTTCTGACCTTGTTTTGTAAAGACAGATTCAATCTCTATATAAATGGGTCGTTCATGCAAGCTTAATGCGTACCTCAAGCGCGTAAATAAGCATAGTTAAATTTTACATTGTTTCAAGCTTGCATAGTTTATTTGCTAATCATTTATAAACCTTGTTGGGCTTTGTAATAAAGATTGTTGCTGACATTAAAAGCAATCTTACAAATGATTGACATTATAAACAACCTTACAGTTGATTGACATTATAAGCAAATTTACATCAGTGAACATTCATTACATAGCAAACTTTCTTTACATTCTTTATACAGTATATTATTTTATTTGCAGTTTGAATATTTAATTCTTTGCGTACATTGTTAATTATATACTTTCAGTGGACAACCTATTCCTCATGTTGAATACACTGATGATGAAATAAAAACCTGGTAAATAATTCATTTTTACAAATTATATTTTTCTATGTAAAGCATATTTATCCCGAAAAAGTGATTATTTTAGAATACTTCTTATGTGCACATTAAATATTTAAATTTTTGTAAATATTTCAATATTTTCCGTATAAATTTCTGCACATTCTGCTTTGTGGGATTTTTAACAAGTAAATGGTATTTAATATTCAAACTTAACATCATAAATTGTATTGGTAGCAAATTTACATAATATAAATATACGAGAAAACGTTCTTAGATTTTAAGCTTCAATTATGCCTTATTGAAGATCCATCGCATAGAACATGTTTTTTTAATAAACATTATTTATTTTCTTGGTCTTTAAGTCTGTTTATAGTGATATAACTCAATCACCTTACAATTTGAAATTTTATCAATTTTACCACGATAAAATTTTACCACTTTAAAGTCATCCTGTGTGCTAATAAACTACAAATTTAATGGAATTTGATATCAAAACTACAGCTTTTCACGAACTGAAATAAATTTTAAAATTATATTGCGACGAAATATACATGGAATAAACCTTCGTTTCTAAGTGGTTTACGTTTAAAAGTTTTTTTTTTAATTCTAACTTGAAATTGATTTAAAATTGTTGTAACAAAATATTTAAGTAACCTTCAAAATAATTTTTTTTTTAAAAAGTAAGAAAGTGTGCAATATTATATTCCTGTTAATATATTTATCAAATAAATCTCCAATTTATGTAGGATGTTTCGTACTGCTCGATCTTAATAGGTATTTTTATAAAGTCCTTCTCAAAAATAAGTAAAACAAAAACATTCATATAAGGGGTCATAAATTATATTTGAGCCAGGAATAAACAGGAATATGTCATTTGAATCTAAGAAACGCTGTTGACCAAAAAGTTACCAAATTTTAATCAAAAAGTAAGAAAGTGTGTATTATTATATTCCTGTTTAATATATTTATCAAATAAATCTACAATTTATGTAGGATGTTTCTTATTGATCGATCTTAATGTGTATTTTAATAAAGTCCTTATCAAAAATAAAGTAAAACTAAAATATTTATATAAAGGGTCACAAATTATATTTAAGCCAGGAATGAGCAAAAATGTCATTTGAATCTAAGAAACACTGTTGAGTATGACGTATTTGAAGTATTCAATACCTGCTTATAGGCCATAGTAAACAGAGGTCGGTTCCTCACTAGTGATCCGGAAACTTTCGATAATTGCCCTGCTTATATGTCACCTGCTTATGTAACAGGGAAAACAGAGGGTAGTTAAAGGAAATAAAAGTAATAAGACCCTCAAGTTTCATCAGGCAACTACACCTGTTATAATATTTTTAACTCGGTCTTCCTTACTAGCGATTCGAAAAATTTCGATAGTAATCTAAAAATTACTGCAGAGTAACTGAAAACATCAAAACCAACTGGATTACCAAAAAGAACATAAAGTAGTTATGTTCTGAGAGATTCTAAAAATGTCATTATTTTATTTGTTTCTTCCTTTAATGTAAATAGTTTTTTAAACTTCATTTTTGACAAGGATATTAAAATTATATATGAAAAGACATAATTGCACAAACCAAGCACATCGAGCTTTCTTGGTGTTTCCTCCTCACTGGTGTTGTGAATTAGTGATATAATCACGCTTAAAAACAGTGACATAGATTTATGTGGGATAAAACAGACTGACGCAGATCTGCACCAGAAAAATTTTTGCATTGTGTTACGGTTTTCCACTATTCAAAATGCCGTTTGAGCTTCGCAATAGATGTCTGAAAATTGCCCCACAAATCTCGGGCTAGTTAAGAAGAGAGAAATAAAGTTAGCGTTATGGTTATGGCAAAACAAACGCAATCCAAAAATTCTCTATTAAATAAAAGCGCAAACGTAAGGTAATTTTATCTTACTTTATAAGCGGTGCTGTACAGCCGACTCAATTATTAGTTTACGATTATCAATGTTCAAGTGATGCATAGTCTTGTAATTTTGAACCCAACCCAGAAGACTAGAGAGATCCTGGATGAAGTATCTAGACCAACTATCCTTCGTGGAGGACGTTTTGATGGAACTAACCCACCTTTGCGCTACATCATGGATAGGAAAACTACGTAAACCCACTAGGATAGCCAGACGGCAAGAAGTTTCTAAGTCATGATTCGTCTACCACTGAGGATATTGTATGTCAGCTCTGGTGTCGATGTGAGCGGAAAGCAGAATTCGCATCAACCGGCCATCGCTGGGATTCAAGCTTGCTTCATCTCATTGTGAGGTGAACGCTCTCACTTAGCCACCTCTGCAACGTAATGTAGTTTGAGACATTTGTCCTAATGCAATCGTATTTTTTTACATACCCTCATAGTTTCCATCTCGTTAGCGTATAGTTTCCATCTAGTTAGCGTATAGTCTCCATCTCGTTAGCGTGTAGTCTCCATCACATTAACGTATGACCTTAAACAAACAGTTCTGCGCAGGAAACCTGACAAATTAATGGATGTTTTTTTTTCTTATTGAGTTAACTAATTTAATTAAATCTAACAAGTTTTTGGAATTAATTATATTCTAACATAGTTACTGGCAATTTATCTAACTGTTTATGCATTTTTGTTTTCGTAGGAGTGCAGTATACAAGAGAATGAAGGCACTCCATCATAGACACGCTTGCATGAGTTATCAAAAGTCCTTCCAATTGCTTGAGGAAGCAAATATCTATAGAGCTGATGCTATACCTCAACTTCAAGATGTTTCCACTTTCCTCAAAAGTAATAATTATTCATTTATAACTATAGTTATTCAGTTATTTATTTAATACTCTCTATTACATTGAGATAGCATCTAAGTGTAGTGACAAAAAGAAAACGATTCATTGCATTTTATACTTTCGAATAAATTGTTATTTGCGACGTTTTTCACTATCTGTGAATTCCCAATTTTGTGTTCAACTCTGTAGCGTTGTTATTTTGAATCCAATCCAGAAGACAAGGGTACTACTGGATGAAGCTCTGGGAGAAGTTTTCCTTCGTGGAGGATTTTTTGATGGAACTAAGCCGCCTTTGCGTTGCATGGAGAGGAAAATCGCGAAAACCTCCCACGGTTTGATTAAAAGAAAATTGGATTTTAACCCATGATCCGTCTACCATTGAAGGTATTTTACGTCAGCACTTTATTCTGTGCTCGAACTGGGTGCAGAATTCGTATCAACCAGGAATCGCTGGAATTCGAATCTGTGTCCCCTCATTTGGGTGCTATCACTTGAACCACTGCGAATCTTATAGTATGATTTAAGAGGTTAAGCGATAAACTAAGCGATAACGTAAGAAAAAAAAAACGTCAAGATAATTCTGAGGTTATTTAAAAAGGTTCAGCATATGTCTTCATAAACGCTGCTTCAATCAACACATTTCTGCAAATGCTGCGACATATTTTATGTACACAAGTCATGAGAGCTTCGCCTGGTTCGAGTAATGTTCTTCATCTTCCATTTCATTTTAAGAGTTAAATCGTCTGCCCTCAACCAAACGTATGTTTTCTCAACTAAAGGAAAAAGTGTAGCCGCGTAGTCAGTGGATGTCAAACCAAGTCTAAAACTTAAGATGTCGGATTTGCCTCAGGAGAAACCTTTCATAGCAAATTTTATTTCGCCTCCCTCAATAATTTAAAATTTAAATTGAAGAAAAAAGTTGATTTACACGAACCACGAGAAATCCAGCAAGCTTCAAATGTTGAATATGCTTTTTTTTGTTGTTTAAAACAATATTGACAAATATTTATTAGGTAATTTCTCCACAGCATGATCTTTTCAAGTTTCATTGTCTTTTATTCAATATATACTCTTTTATACTTTAGAATTCAAATAAATAATGTAAGCAGTATTTACCATGAAGTGTTTCTCCCAAGATATACCATTCTTTTAAGGATATGATGGTGTTCCATCAATCACAGGCTGGGATAGCTTGGTCGGTAGGGCACTGAGCACATGTCCGAGAGCTCGTGGGTTCGAACCTCGTCGGCCTCGTCGTTTAGTAAAGTGACTGAGCACGTTAAATCAGTCGAGTCGCGAAAGTCCTCCATGTTCCCATAACAAATCAATAATCGTTCTCTGATTTAGGTCAAAATTACGATCAGTGGATGAATGAATGGATGTATGAATGGGTCCGCCCGATAAATGGGTGAGACGTATGGTGCGGCAGAAGTCGAATTCTTGGCCATAGATGGCGCCACTGGAAAAACAAGAACAATCGCACCCGCTCTGTCTAAAAACAGGCATACGTCAACAACAACAACATGGTGTTCCATCGAAACTTTTGCAAAATAGCGATGATTTAAGTGATGAAATGGAGGATAAGGTTCACTGCTTATCTAATGGTATATCTGGGAGCAGGTATAACAATCTCATATAAAAACCAAAAAAATAACACGGAGTCTTAAAATATGCGTCGATTGAAGTTTTATTTCGTATTTTAAAGAAAAAGGGAAATGACATTTGGGATCACTTTAGTGAAATTGTCTATTTGCGTTTTTTTGAAAAACGACACGAATCTTTGGATCAAGTTTTAATTATTTTTTTATTTTTCGTAGGAGAATCTGGCTTTACGCTAAGACCTGCAGCTGGTCTTGTAAGCGCTAGAGATTTTCTGGCAAGTTTGGCTTTTCGAGTATTCCAATGTACGCAGTATGTACGCCATAAATCCTCTCCGCATCATACCGTTGAACCGTAAGTATATACCTGTCATTTTTGTAGTTATCAAATTCTTTTAAAGCGCATACGATATTTCTACAATGTAAAATAAAGGGTTTTCAAAATTCAGCAAAAATGTGTCAAAATAGCCTCGAAACAAATAATAGTCGAAGTTGAAAGCCACTTGCATTCAAAATTTAAATAGCATAGAATCCTTTCTGAATAAAATGTATATAATCATAAGTGACGTTGGAGGCAAAATGCGTGAGAAAGATGTTCTTCGGCTTCGGGCAGTATTCGAACCAAGGAGTTTCGGAATTGTAGTTGAATTCTTTACCATAGTTGTTCATCTAAGTCCATATAAAGTTAGGAAACTTTATATAGTGGCCGCCACAATGATACATCATGACATTCATTTCGTACAAAAGATAAGATATAGTGAAATAAGCAAAAGCGGAAATTAAAGTTATTGATTTCCTGGCTAAGCAATATTGAAACCATATTTTCCAAATCGCAATTTTTTGTACGGTTGACATAGGAAACTAGTATTTCGTGATTTTTCATTTCATTGCGGCTGCTACTATATAAAGCTTACTAACTTTTCAGTGCAATGAGCATTATACATATATATTTCTGAAACGAAACTTTAATGCTAATAAATTTCTTTCAGAGATTGTATCCACGAGCTCTTAGGCCACATTCCGATGTTTTCAGATCCTGCTTTTGCTAGATTTTCACAAGAAATAGGACTAGCTTCTTTGGGTGCATCTGATGAAGAAATTGAAAAATTAGCCACAGTAAGTTTTCTACATTGTAGTTCATTTATTAATTATTCTCTTTCTATATTTTTTTCGTTACCGTCTCGAAATTATTCAGTTATGACTTTTAGCATATAGCATTTTATAAACAAAACTCAGTGGCGCGACAGTTCATAGAGGGCCAAGGCCTATTGTGCCCATCTCAGTTTTCTTGACCCTAAGCTCTGGGGTGCAGGAGCAGATGTTCCGGTGAGGTGGTTCCCAGTGTTTAGTTCCCAAGAATGCTTGGTACTCATTTATCGACCCGCTGAAGGGATGAAAGGCTGAGTCAATCTTTCCCAGCCATAGGATCGAACCCAGGACCAGCGGCACGGGAGCGCGAAGCGCTACCACTCAGCCACCGGGAGTCATTTTTCGCATTTTATAATGTTTTTTAGCATAGCATTTTATAAGGAAGGAAAAAAATGTTTTCAGTTTGAGGAAAGCTTTAACGGTACAGCTGTTTATTTGGTTATTTAAAATCATAGCAGCTTAATCAGTTAGAAATTAAACTTTTTTTATTTTTGTTTATATAATGTTAGAAAATACTTTTAACTTTATCTTAAGATTTTGTATCAATGTATTTCCTTAATTTTTTATTCATTTCAGAAAGAATTTTCGTAGATAATTAAGTTTGATCATTAAAGTACCTTATAACCTAAATACCAAGAGTACATAAAATCAATCATTTTATATTTTTACGTAATTTCGTCTTTTATTAAAAATATCTCTTACTTTAAATACTTTCTTGATATAATATTTAACGATAATGTATTCATTGAACTAAACATTCTAATAAACTAGCACCTCAAAATAAAAATTAGAACACATTAAGAATTATATATAAAAAAAATTTAACTTAAAAAAAGTATATTTTTTAAGAGTTCTCAACATAGTTTTTTGGAAATTTTTGTGCCCAATTTAGTGCTTGCACCATTTAAGGTTTGAAAACTAGTTTTAAGAATTTGTGGTGCTTCTTTTCAAAATTTTATTAAAAACCAAAGAATTGCAATTATTTCACTAATTTGCATCCTGTCAATCTTTTTTGGTTTTGTAAATCGAATTTTGTTAAAAATCCTTGTAATGGTTATTTTTTATTTTAATCGCATTTTAACTAAAAGTGTATTTTGTTTGTTAATAGGTATACTGGTTTACTGTTGAATTCGGATTATGCAAAGAAAAAGGAGACATCAAAGCTTATGGGGCAGCATTGCTTTCTTCATATGGGGAACTTCTGGTAATTTCAATAAATATTAACAAAACATTGATCAAAAATAGAGAAATCCCAAATTTATTTAAGATTAGATTTTCAGTTTTTTCGAAAAAAATTTTAATCCTAAAAATTGAGAGCACATTTGATTTGAACTAATGTCTAAGAGGTGTTTTTAATGACACTTGGACATGTCAAAATGGCTAGACATTGACATTTTGCAAATTAAGTCATGATGGTGCGTCTTTTGCTTGACCAGAGAGAAAAACAAAAGTGAAAGTACGTTCTGGCTCAGAACTCTACGGATAGATGGCAGCACTACTCACTATTGAGGGCACTTCCTCAGTTTAGACATAGATCTGAAGGGGAAGGAAATTCTCTTTAGATCCCTGTACCCTTTGCACTGCTCAACCACCTGCATCAAGATCACGTATCTCGCTTCTACTCGATGGTTCTTACAGAAGTCTTATACGATCCTCTAACCAACGGAATCCAATTTGAAGTAGGAAAAAGAAGTTTCGTACTATAAGGAAAAAAATAATTCCGCAGAAAAATACTTACTTCGACTTATTTAAGCAAATAAGAAACTGATATATTACAAGGAAAATGTCCTGAAAGCGGTGTTCGCAATTCTAATTGATTTTTGCATACAAGTAGACAGAGACCGAAAATCAATTATGTAACAGAATTTTGCTAATTTATTGTCATCTAATAAACTTTTAAATGAATATTCGGCCAACTTTTGAAATTTTAACAATACTATATGCTATAACTTGATTAAAAAATTTCATTACCTTCAAATATATATAGATTGTAGATAACAGTCAACATGTTTCAATCTCTCAAAACTAATCGCCCATTTTGAAAATGGGAGCCCAATTTTCCAAATATTACTTTTAATGCTATTAATGAATCATATTTTACAGATTAACAAATGGTGAAATTTATCATAACTACCAGAATATGTTAAAACTTACCGTGTTTCTATGAGATCACAAATATGCTCGGTAATTTTTACCAAAACACTTTGGTTATAATTTTGGTAAAATTAACAATAAAATATTGTTTAATAATGTGTTTTAAAATTTGGTAATTTTATCATAATGTTTTTGAGCATGGCTCATTAAACATTTGTACGATTTAATTTACTTTTCGGTTCGATACGTTTTGCTTAATGTGTGGTAATAAGAACTATAATTTCGAGAACCAGAATTTCCGGTAAACCGTTACTATATGAACAGAAAAAATACTATATGAATGGTTTAATTACTGTATATTTTTGTTTTATTTATCAGAAATGTCATGACCATAAAATACGGTAATTTTACCTGAAATGTTTCCTTGTCAGGTTATTTGACCTTGCATGCAATGCGCAGGCAATTTGTTCAATTTTAATTTATTTAACGCTTTTCGTGTAGATTTTCAGCATTGTATACAATATTAGATTTACAACTTTTGCACGGTTACAAATATATTTGTCTCTGAAAGGAAAAAAATTAGATTATACAATGAGGCATACTATTGGTTTTAGCTATATTCGGTTTCCTTTTCTATAATTATGTTGTACTTTTTAATCTTAATTTGTTTTTAATTTCAAATGAATGACAGTAATGATTTAGACACGCAGAGGAAATTATTTATTTAATTTGGCGTATTTTGTTTGCAGAATGCTATGTCATCGAAGCCTCAGGTATTGCCATTTGATCCTATCGTCACAGCAGTCCAAGCTTATCAAGATCAAGAATTTCAGCCAATCTACTTTGTTGCTGAAAGTTTTGAAGATGCAAAAGAGAAAGTTAGGTAAGTTAGAACCTCTTGAAATCCAGCCTCCGATGTATAAAACAAGGTTTGCTGCAATGCTTTTACTAAAAAAGAATTTTTTTGTTTTGTTTATATGATTTTGCAATACGATTATCTTTGTAAAAATACAAGGTGTTCCGTAAAGATCTCCCTTAACACATAATTTTTATAAACCCCATCAAAAATTAAATAAAAATAAGTTCTGAATATGCTGAAAGTTTTGAAGATGCAAAAAGAAAATTAGGTACGTTAGAACATCCTGAAATCCAGCCTCCAACGTTTGATGCAATGCTATTACTGAAAAATAATATATTTTTGTTTATATGCCTTTACAATATGATTATCTCTGTAAAAATACAAGGTGCTCCATAAAGATCTCCCTTAATATATAATTTTTATAAACCTCATCAAAAATTAAATAAAAATAAGCACGGAATATGTTGAAAGTTTTGAAGATGCGGAGGAGGAAATTAGGTACGTCAGAACATCCTGAAATCCAGCCTCCAATGTAAATAACAACGTTTGGTGCAATGCTAAAAATTAATATTTTTCTCTATTTACATGCCTTTACAATGCGATTGTCTTAGTAGAAATATAGGGTGTTCCGTAATGACCACCCTAAAATTGTATTTTTAGAAACCTTATCAAAAAGGAAAACAAAGAAATCTTTGAAAGTTTTGAAGAGTTGAAAGAGAAGTGCATTTTAAAAACTCCTAAGTTCCAATGCAAAATATATTGGATAATATTTAGTATAATTTTATAACTTAATACTATTTTGAATTTTTCTGTTTGTCTGCCTTAACACAGCGTGTGTCTATGTAAAACACAGAGTGTGTAACACACACACCTTGCTTAATATTCATTTCTAGAAACGCATATCATGTGATTTGCATCAGATCATTAATTTATATCAAGTGTGAGAGTGTGGGTTTGAAATTGTAAAACACATAATAGCCAGTTAAATTTTTTGTTTCATATTCTAATAATAATTGCATAACTCATTGTAAAGCTGTTTAATGCTGTAATATTTAAACTAATTATTAGATTAGTTTATTTTTAGTGAGCAAAAAAAAAAACTCCCCCTGGATAACATTTGTTCTAATGATTGAATTTTCCCGTTACAATTTTAATGGATCAAATACTTGATCTGAAGTATGCTAAATCAGTCCCAAAATTAGCAAAATATACTGAGTTGCTGTAATATTGTACAAATTGTCCCAAATATGTGCATTCTCCGAATCAACATATCTTTTTTTGACGAGCAAAATATGGTTTCAGTTGTTTAATCAGGAGATTTCTCACGCAGTTATAAAATTGGATTATCTGAAATTTTTTTAAATTTAAATGGTCTGAAAAAATGTTTTTTATAATTCATTATTTTTTATTACAATGGTGTTTAAGTTTTTGAATTCTAAGGAAAATAAATTTATGCATAGCTTTGAACTGCGTAATTTTAAATTGCAACATCAAAAATTTGAAAGTAATGAATAAAATAGTTTTCAAGCTATATAAATTTTCATAAAAACCATATTTTTAAGTTTTCATTTCGCGAAATTTGTATACATAGCACAGAAGAAGTCTAAAAGTAATGATGCTGAAGAAAAGCAATGATCTCGGAACAGAAAACATATTTAGGTCAAAAAAATATTGGTAAAAGCATAAATTAAAATTTTGTGGCAAAACTTCAGGCAATCGTTTGCATCTCAAAACATGGAAACTTCAACGAGTAGATTTTCGGTTTTGTACTCACAGTTTTGAATACGTCTTAACTTCAAATATCGGTGTCTGAAACGAAACAATTTCAGTGATTTTTTTTATAAAGATGTAACTTGCAATATTACCACAATTCGGCCTTCTGAGCCCAAGTCTGCGGGTTCGATCCCCGGCCCAGACACCGGATTTTCGGGATGCAGAAAATCCTCAGAGGCCATGTCGTATGATTATGCGGCATGTAAAAGATCCCTGGAGTCCCTTATTGGCTCTTGGCATTTCCGGCAAAATTAAATTCCTAGTGCACTTTAGCATCCAAATAGAGTCTCGGTGCTGCCATCTAGTGTGGCAGAAACTAGACGTCCAAATTAACATGACCAACGGTATCTCACCCATTGTGGTGGTCCTGAAAGAGTGGATACCACCTCTGGAGAACGCACTAGGTCTGCTCATCGGCAAGACCGATTGTGCAGCTTATTGGAAATAAAAAATATTACCACAATTTACGACTTGACGCGAAAATTAGAAGTCATAAAAATAAAATACTGACAAAATAATAAAAACAAGGAGCTCCATTTAAAAAGTATTGATGTGTTTAGTTTTAATATCGGCTAACATTTTTCCGTTTCTTTTTCAGGGAATATGTAAACTACCACATGGATCACCAACACCATGTTATTTATGATCCATACACTGAGACGATAGTGGAGATTGATTCCTTGACGAAACTAGAGAAGCTGGCAGAATCCATAAAATCGGATTATTCAACTTTGATGGCTGCGTTTCGTCATTTGAAGTAGTTAAATACTTATAACTCTCTATAAGACGCTCAATATATACTTAATTAACCGTGAACTAAATAAAGCCAGACTGTAGCATGAATGATGTTGTTGATTTTTTGTTAAAAGAATAATTACACTGCGTACAGATATTTTGTTGCATTTATACAAATACTTAATTATTCCGCCTTGATTATTACACATTATTAGCTGTGTTACATCGTTTGAGGTAGTTAGGGCAATATAACTATCAATAGGACGCTCAATATATTCTTAATTATCTCAACTTATTATCAATAATATACTAAATATTATATATACTTAATCGTTAAATAAATAAAGCCAAGTTGTAGTATAGATGAAGTTGATCTATTGCAGGGGCGGATCGAGAAATTTTTCCTGGGGGGGGGGGCTCATGGAATCAAACCCCCCCCCTCCACACAATTAATTTTTTGATGAAAAAAAATTTTTTTTAATCAATAAGACGTTCAATATATACTTAATTATCTCAACTTATTATCAATATATACTAAATATTATCTATACTTAATCGTTAAATAAATAAAGCCAAGTTGTAGTATAGATGAAGTTGATCTGTTGCAGGGGCGGATCAAGAAATTTTTCCTGGGGGGGTCATGGGCTCAGATCCCCCCCCCTCCACACAATTAATTTTTTGATGAAAAAAAAATAATTTTTTTTTGAAGAAAAAACTGGGGTTTTTAATGCTAGTCTTCTCATTTATTTTTTTCATAATGAACAATAGAACAATCCATAAATAATTCAAGTATTCAAAATCTTTAAATAATAAATGTAATGCGTTTTTTAGAAACTTTGGCAAATCTGTCAATGATTTTTTCAACATCCAAATCAATTTCTCTTTGAATGTTTAATAATACCATCGACTTTTAAGAAAAAATCATGAATAAATAAGTGAGAAGCAACTATGGGGTTGGGGAGTGGAGTCTTTTAATTTTTTTAAAAATTTCAAATGAATATAACTTAAAGTATTTGGATATTTTCAAACTAATAACTGCTTAATGTTTATTATGAAGCAAGATTCAAAAGATTTCCGCTTTGCGTAGAAAGAAAAAAATAGCCAAGTGTCCACACTTACGTTAGCAAAACTCTTTAAATTTTTCATGACACACATAAGTATATTCAATTAAATTGTCGCTCAATTCTTGAAAAGAAACACGAGTAAAATTAATTCCGCAATTCAAAGTACTTTATTATGTATAACACTAATGAGGACATTTTGAAAAACTAACCAGTTTTTTGTTCTGAATTGTCAACAAAGAACTGAAATATCGAGTTAGCAGTCAGTCATAGAGATAAACACCTAGATGTAGATGTTTACAAATTTTTAAATGAAAATTAGCGTTTCTCGCAAGAACAAAGAAAGCCCGAACTAACTTATATAAATTTGCCAGAAATGAAAATTTAAAAGAGGACAATTTCAAACTGTGCAATACTTTTGTTGATATGTGTAGGTTTAATATTGTGTAGGTTTAATAATTCTTATTTGGTGTCTTATTTTAGTGTCAATGATGCTTCATAGTTAACCCAGAAAAAAATTTATTTATTAAAAAGTCATAAAATTTTCTTTACATTGAAAGAGTTTTTGTCTGAATACGAATTTAAAATTGTTTTGTCTTTAAACATTGAGATTTATTAAATAACGAAATTCTTTGAATTATGCATTTCAAATATAATTTCAGAGTAGAATTGCTTAAAAAAATAGAAATATATATAAATCTAAGGTTCTTACAGAATGTAAATGTTGCCGATATTTAGGAATTTATATTAAAAAAAAGTTCAAAATAAAAAATAATATTTTTAAAAACCACGTTTTTGTAGTGGAGAATAATAATTAAAAAAATTGAAAAGCGAAAAACGTGGGGCGCATGAAATACATAACAGTAATGTTATATTAGTGTGTGTATGTGTGCTCTTGAGAATATGTGTATGTATATCTGTAATTGTATCTGAATGTGGATGTGTATATGCATGTGTATGAGAATGTGGCTGTGCATGTGTATGAGTAAGAAAATGTGTATATGTATGAGTATATGTACTGTTATGTATTTCATGCGCACCACGCTTTTCATTTTTCAAATTTTTGTTTTTTAATTATTATTCTCCACTACAAAAAGTGGTTTTTATAAGTATTATTTTTTATTTTATTTTTTTTGTACTCACTTCCAAAATCTCAATTTTTTCACTCACTGTACACAAAACTTTTCAACTGACATGTGACACTAATTTGAAATAATCGAATCGACAACAAAAGACAATCGAAAATATTAATTTTTCTTTAATTTTAATTTTATTTTAATTTTGTATGTCTTTTTTCTCTTCATTTTCATGCATTGTCATATCCAATTCTAAACTATGTGCCAAATTTGAAGTTTGTAGCTAGTCGGGAAGTTAATTTAAAATCTCTTGCAAAATTCCACCCGGACAGACATACACGAAGGCAAGTTTATATAAACGTGGTAAAATAGTTATAGCATACGTATGAAGTTGGAGAAAATAAGTCAGTAGTGAACGGGTAAACGAAGCGAGCTCTAACTGCGAAGCAAACGTAAAGGTACTGCGAAAGCGATTGCGGGAGTTTGCAAACTATGTACTTCAAAGTGAAATACTTGTATTATGCAGCAGCGGAATCACATTCGACTTCAGAATTTTAGATCTCGATTCTGAAGTTGATCAGACAAATGTAAGTTGAGTTATTTTATGATATTTTCAACATTTTAATATTTTCACGTTTAAATCCAATTCTTTCACAGCATAATTCTTAAAACTATATAAATTTAGAAAAGAAACTTGAAGGTTGCGTAATAATTTTTATCTTAATATCAATTTACGCGCAATTTCTAATAAAACACGAAATTTTAAAGTTGAAGATAGTATTAAGCTGCCTCAATATATATATATATATTCCAAAAAGTGATTTGTTGAGTATCAATTCAAAAGCGAACATCATAAACTGGAACTTTAAAAATATATTTTTATTTTTTGGGTATAGTAAAATATGACCAATATACACATAAATTATCCACATTTTTCACTATATTGCTGAAGAGGAGGAAAGATATAGTCAAAATGAACAGCAATTCTTCAATTAATGTAGTTGTCACGAACTTCAATTAAACGTTGGTGAAACAATATCCATTTGAACTATTCTTAAATTTGCAATGGATCCACATTTTAACAATTTATGAACTTCATTAACTGGCAATTAATAAATTTGTTTATATTTAGTGTCTTTCAAGATATGGTCCAGACCACTTCCAATACCAAAATAAAAGTATTTTTCTTTTATATTAACAATAAAAAAAAATTTCGATTTTTTAACTCCAATTGTTGTGGTTGCCACCATCTTTCATTAATCTTCAGCGATTTAATACCAATTGAACGTCTGGATAATATTTATACTTTATTTATGCCATTGTGAATTAGTTTAGAAAGCCGTGGTCAAACAGTGCTAATTATCACAAAACATAATATATTTTATGATTTTTGCTAAAAATATATATTTGTAGTGGTTTTCTGTGAATTACTAAAGCATGTTCTCAACGGTTCAAATTTTTATACTTTTAACAATGCTATTCTAAATTGTAATTTTGATTAATATAAGTTAGACATCAGAATTCAAGAGTTTCTTGTTTAATTTAGTAAATCCTTTGATTTTAATTATTTTAACATCTCTGTATTTAAAACCTTTTAACTCACAGCGCATTCTTTAAATAATTTGAACTCAAAAGGAAATCTCTAGTGTATATTTATTTTTTGATCTTTATCATTCTAGAATTTACATACTATTCCTGTTTAAAGCGAAATTTTAACACTGGATATTGTATTAAGCTGACCTCAAATATATTATCTGATTAAAAAAGAGCTAATTCACATTGACGTTCACAATAATAATTCAAACATTTAATTTTCCGTTTATTCCGTCTCACAACGTTCACATTTTTAGAATACCTTTAAAACTTCTTTTACGTTACCATAAAACAACGAACGTTGCCATCACCATAACAACAAAAACTAATAGAAGTTTAGCACTATAATATAAAAATTAAAACGATAATTAAAGGGAAAACTATATTATTTGTTATTTAAAAGGCAAGCCACAACAAGCTCCGATTTTCAAAACTTCATAACAACTGTAATTTATTATTGGAAATTAAGAAATTTACTCCTGTTTACATAAATATCGTTAAATTTGATGTTTGATATTTCCCGAATCGAATACCTTTTTAGGTACATAGCAAAAATTACTTAAAAGATTGCGAAAAGGAAATAATAGTAGTCACAATAATCTTTCAGTAACTGTTGGTTGGAAAATTCTGCTCAAAAAAGCTTCCATTTAATTAAGGATTTTAGTTTCAATATACTACAAATTTTTAATTTTTTATACAAATTGAAAATTTTTTTTCTTAATGATAAAAAAGTTCCAGAACTGCTAATTCAAAACACATACATGAAAACCTCAGGAATTGGCACTAATTAGATTTATTGATTTTTAATGCATGGTGAAATATGACTTCGATTAAAGCTTCGATCTATTTTTTCGTCTCATTTTTTTTCTCTTTAATAATCACCTTCGTAAATATTGAGAATTGGTTACAAAAATTTGCATGTGAGTACCGAATTTATAACAGAGCATATGGAAGAAAAACTGAAACTAACTATTTTAGTTCAGATGGTTGTTTTTAAAAATTATTCTTAAATAAATTCAATCATTTATTGGCCGCTACGGAGAGAAATTACCGTGTTATTTTAGCCAATCCATTAAAATTTCCCACACTTTCTGGCTAGCTAGAGGACTCAAATATCAACTGATACTAATCAAAATTTCCTCAACTTTCCAACATTAAAAAGAAATAACAGACACAAAATTAAAAGGAAGGAAATAATAAAATTAAATTAAAATTGTATAAACAAATTTTTTCTAAGTGGACATAAAAGGAGAAAATAATTCTGCTTTTCCTACACCAAAAGAAAAAACGTTGGAAGCATCATTTTCATATTTAACTTTTATCACCACCGGAAATCCCTCCCACGCCTTTCGCACGTGATGCGTTCAACGTATTTTTC